TCCTCAACTGTCATTAGCTCTCTGCAGTCCCCTGTAACTGTTTTTTTTTTAACCTCAGAACACTGAGCTCTGTAGCTGACCAATCAGAGAGTGGGGGGTGTAGGGAGGCAGCCGCCTGGCAGCCACATAGGAATCAATGGGGGGAGCACATTTTACCCCTTTTGACCCCCTTAGAGGTCAAATTTCTAAAAATCCCTTCTTAGTGAGCATCTACATCATGGTAGGAGTGCTCTCCCGAATCTGGTGTCTCTAGATCCAGCGGTTTGGCCTGGGCATTGATTTTACGGTGAGGGGACTTTCTTATATATAGATAGATTAGGGCTGTCAGAGAGGACTCATGGTCTGGCCTGAAGCCTCAGAGTCCCCTCCAAAATCATCTCAAAGCTTGCGATCAAGGGTTGGGATCTTCTCCAGGCCAGTACAGTGAGGGTTATCCCTGCCCTATGGGGTGGACTCTCAGTCTTGGAGGCTGATTCTGCATTGGCTTTTCCCTCTGTTGTTTTATGAAACCCACATTGGAGCAGAAATTCCCCTCTGCATTGCATGCTGCTTTCACTTCCTTTGATCACTGGAGTTTTATGGTAGCCTCCACCCTCCATGCTGCTTTCGCTTCCTTTGATCATCGGATTTTATGGTAGCCTCCACCCTCTGTGCTGCTTTCACTTCCTTTGATCATTGGATTTTATGGTAGCCTCCACCCTCCGTACTGCTTTCACTTCCTTTGATCATCGGATTTTATGGTAGCCTCCACCCTCCGTGCTGCTTTCACTTCCTTTGATCATCGGATTTTTATGGTAGCCTCCACCCTCCATGCTGCTTTCACTTCCTTTGATCACTGGATTTTTATGGTAGCCTCCACCCTCCGTGCTGCTTTCGCTTCCTTTGATCATTGGATTTTATGGTAGCCTCCACCCTCCATGCTGCTTTCGCTTCCTTTGATCATCGGATTTTATGGTACCTTCTGCATAGACTTATGGCCATTCAGGGGTGACTTTGCAGTCGGTACAGTGTTGCCCCAAGGTATCTGAATGTGGTTTTGAGCTGCACTTTTTCCTCCCAGTTGAGAAAATGTGGAGCGAATGCTGGATGCAGAATTGCCCGTACTTTCCCTCCTCTGTATCCAAGACAGTAAACTTGAGCTGGTCACGTCTTACAGTGAGTACAAACCAAGGGTGATGGGGATATTTGCAGAGAGGACGTTTCTAGCCTCGGGCACCAAGTTGCGAGAACATACCAGGAAGTCACTGACTGCTTGCAACTTCAAATACATTTCTGGCCTTCCAGGCTCTGTTGTTTCAGGCACAGGGTGGGGGTGGGGTGGGGTGGGTGGAAGAAGGCCTCCACATTCCAGCGGAGTCCTCTGGACCAGACCTGTGGTTTCCTGGCGGACCGCAGCATGGGACTGAGGCGAGCTGTGTTGATTTGTGGCTCCCTCTCTTGCAATGAGAAGCGAGGAGACACCAGCAGGGTCCAGTGCGAGATGTTTGTACTGCGGGCTTCTAGCCGTTTTGTAGGATCCATTGCTATTAGGGATGCGAGAATGCTGCCCGTTCTATTTCTTTTTGTTTTTTAATCTTGTTAGTTCACCGTTTCGGTTCTGTTTATCCAATTTGTTTACTCGTGTCCTTTAAAAGCTCACTCTTCTCCCAAAGAGCTGGTGCGGTTCTCTTCCTTTCTTCCTCGCATCCTTACAACGACCCTGCAAGTTTCCGTGGCAGAGTGGCGGTTCGAACCTGGGTCTTCCAGATCCTTGTCCAACATTCTAACCACTGAGAGCCAGTTTGGTGTCGTGGTTAAGTGCGCGGACTCTAATCTGGGAGGACTGGGTTTGATTCCCCACTCCCTCACTTGCACCTGGCTGGATGACCTTGGGCAAGCTGTAGTTCTGATAAGAGCTGTTCTTGAAAAAGAGCCGTTTCTGTCAAGAGCTGTCTCGGCCCCACTGACCTCACAGGGTGTCTCTTGTGGGGAGGGGAAGGGAAAGGAGTTTGTCAGCCGCTCTGAGACGCCTTTGGGTAGTGAAGGGCGGGGTATAAATCCAATCTCTTCTTCTTCTCTTCTGTGCCATACCAGTGGGGATGCCAGCCTCCAGGTGGGACCTGGGAATCCCTTGGAATTCCAGCTCATCTCCAGACTACAGAGATCAGTTTCCCTGCAGGAAATGGATGCTTTGGGGGGGATGGACTCTGTAGCATCGTACCCCACTTAGGTCCCTGTCCTCCACAGGCTCCACCCCCCCAAATCTCCAGGAGTTTCCCAACCCAGATTTGGCAACAAGTATGTACAGTGGCTTCTCCCCCACCAGCCATCAACGCTCATTTGAGGAAACATCTTTGGCCAATCATCCCCCGGAGAGGAAGCACCTGTCACCGTAAAATTAAAGACCAGAGAAAAACGTCTTCCACGGGAGCCGACACAATAGCATTCCCGTTATTACTTGCTCATTCAAAGAGGCAGGAAGGTGTCTGTGAGAAGCCACATATTTCTTCTCCTCCGTCATCTTTTCTGTTCTAGGTCCTCCCCCCCCCCTCCGGCTTATTTTAGCTTTTGTATAAATTGTGACTTTAAAAGGAACTTGGCACCGGAGGGACCCCAGCAGAAGGGGGGGAGGACCCAGCTCTGCCTGCGTGGACTTTTCTGCTTTTGGGGGGCCTTGCCAGAAAAAATTCCAGGACACTTCCCGAATGTTGCTACCGCTGGGTCTTTTCGGCACGGGAGCCCAGCGCTGAATGCTGTGCCCAGAAAGGATCGGGCTAGGATGGTCCACAGCGTGGTGCTTTGCCAGGATGGGAGGGAGGCAAGGGGTGACGTTTCTGCCCTGGCTGTGTGAGAGAAGGCGTGGCGATGTTTCCCAGAATGCCAGCCAATGTGCCAAGGGAGGCAGGGTGAGGAGAAACAGCCAATTCTCAGCGCAGAACCCTTAGAGAACCTCTGGCAATTCAGCCTAGGAGACAGGAGGGATCTTGAATGTGCACAAACACATGAAGCTTGCCTTTTTCTGAATCAGACCTTTCGCCTCTCAAGGCCTGCATTGTCTACTCTGGCAGGCAGTAGCTCACATAAGAACATCAGCCAACGAAACCATTAGGAAACGTATTGCCTTTCTAGATTTCCACCACCCTCCCCTTCAGATAAACTCCGTCACAGGGCAGCTTACGACAGACTGCAAAGCAACTCGATGTTGGATATTGTAACTCTGCATGCAAGAGGATCTGGCCTGTTGCTCACCTTCTGTGTTTCATCTTACTTGGGGCCTTTCTTCTTCTCTCTTTTTTGGCTTGGAGCTGTAGCAAGTTAACCTTCTTCAGAGTTAATCTGTTCACAATAAGTTCAGTGTCCCTGCATGAATAGGTCATGTAAGAGGTGCTTCTGTTTTTGTAAGTAAAATTTCTTTCTCTTGTTACCGTTGGAGTCAGGTCATCTTTGTCATTTGTTTGACCAGCATTTTCCCCTTAACCAGGAAACGTGGGGGCCTGGGGATACTGTGTAAAGCTCCTGTGCTTAAAAGGCAAATGATTTTTCTTCTTTACATTTAACCCAATACTTAGATTCAACAGCTGGGCAGCCCCCACAAGGACATTTGTATTCTGCTAAAAGCTCAAATGAACAAAGCTGCTTTTGCACAGCTCCTCAAGGGAGCAAAGCGATCACCAGGTGGAATTTTGGGGAGGGTGTCCCACAGCTGAGGGAGCCACAACAGGCAAGTCCCTGCCCCCGGTAATCACCTGTTTGGCTTCTGAAAGCTGGGAGCTGCCCGAGAAGGGCCTCCCGTGACAATCTTTGTGCATAGGTAAGCTGAAATAACTAGGACCCACCAAACGGAACATCAGATTCTAGGGCCGAATGTTAGAATTGAAATCCAAATTAGGAATCTCTGTCATTGTCTTTTCCTGAGTTGGATCACTGGTCCACTCAACATAGTATTGTTGTTTTATCCATTGTTCTTGTTGTGAGCTGCCCTGAGCCTGCCTCGGTGGGGAGAAATCAAACTAATAAATAATAAAGAAATAAATATCCCAAAACCAGCTTCCTGGGATTGCTTGAACTGGCAATGCCGGGAATTGAACTCGAGACTATTTGCACACAAAACAGGTGCTCTGAGCCAGGGTCTTTTCTTTCAAGTTTCAGGAGAGAGAGAGAGAGAGAGATTGGATTTATACCCCGCCCTTTACTACCGAAAGGTGTCTCAGAGCAGCTTACAATCTCCTTTCCCTTCCCCTCCCTACAACAGACACCCTGGGAGGTAGGTGGGGCTGAGAGAGCTCTGACAGAAACTGCTCTTTTTCAAGGACAGCTCTGACAGAACTATGGCTTGCCCAAGGTCATCCAGCAGGTGCAAGTGGAGGAGTGGGGAATCAAACCCGGTCCTCCCAGATTAGAATCCGCACACTTAAGCACTACATCAAACTGGTGTATGTCAAATTTGGGGTGTTTTTCCCCCCAGTTTCTTTGCAGCTCGACTTAGGCGGATCCTCCGCCCAAAGCAGTGTCTCCGATTGGGGCGGGAACCGTGGCACGTTTTAATCCCCGCTTCTGCCTTTCCCAGGTCCTCATCCCTCCGTCCCGGATGTAGAAGGGGACCTCCTCTTCCTGCTGGACAGCTCCGGCAGCGTCTCCTACTACGAATTCTCCCGGGTCAAGGAGTTCATCGCCGACCTCCTCCGACCCTTCACCTTTGGCCCCCATGACGTCCAGACCAGCGTGGTCCATATCAGCACCGCCCCCACCCTGGAGTTCCCGTTCGACCGCTACCTGTCCAGCGGGGCGGTCCAGCACGCCATCCGGGGCATCCAGCAGGTGATGGGGGACACCAACACAGGCAAAGCCCTCTCCTTCGCCAAGGAGAAGCTCTTCACGGGGGAGGCCGGCGCCCGGCCCGGCGTGCCCAAGGTCCTGGTGTGGGTCACCGACGGGTTCTCCACGGACGACGTCTCCCGGCCCATGCAGCTCCTCAAGGACTTGGGGGTCACGGTGTTCATCGTCAGCACGGGCCGCGGGAACTACCTGGAGCTGTCGGCCGCGGCCAGCCAGCCGCCGGAGAAGCACCTCCACTTTGTGGACGTGGACGACCTGCCGATCATTATCAAGGAGCTGAGGGACTCCATCGCAGGTAACCTGGTGAGCTCAGAATGGTCTTGTGGGTCAGCCCACTGTCTCCTTTTTACATTGCCCGGCCAGGCGCTTCTGTGCGATTGCAATGGCGGTTCCGTTGTGCCAAGTTTCCGTTCTGACGTCCTAATTGGCTAGGGTTGTGGACCTCCACGTGGGGCCTGGAGATCTCCCAGAATTACAACTGATCTCCAGACTACAGACAACCAGGGGTCATTTCCTGCAGGAGCGCACAGGAGCGGCGCTCCGGCAGTAAAGAGCCCAGGGGGTGGGCACATGCAACAAGCCCCACCCCTTGCTCCCAGCAGCCCTCAGTCAGAGCAAGAAGCAGCCAGGTAAGTTGCAGAGCCCCCACCCCCAGATAGCAATCCAAAACAGTCCAGTGGCACCTTTAAGGCCAAGGTTGAGCTGCAGTGGCTCAAGTGGATAAGACGCTGAACTGCAGGCTGTGAAAGGTCGGTAGTTCAGCAGTTTGAGACCCGGGTGCCGCATGATGGAGTGAGCTCCTAACTCTAGTTCCAGCTCCTGCCAACCTAGCAGTTCGAAAGCAAGAAATTGCAAGTAGATAAATAGGTACCACTTCGGTGGGAAGGTAACAGCGTTCCGTGCGCCTTGGTGTTTAGTCATGCCGGCCACATGACCACGGAAACGTCTTTGGACAGCGCTGGCTCTTCGGCTTTGAAATGGAGATGAGCACCGCAACCCTAGAGTCGGATTCGACTGGCTTTCAAGCAAGGGAACCTTTACCTTTACCTTATTCAGGTACAAGCTCTCCCCCCTCTGTGAGGGCAGATCTTCGTGTGTCCCCCCCATAGCTAGCAATCCAAAACAGCCCAGCGGAGCCTGAGTGGTGGGTGTTGCCTTCTGACACACTTCCAGTGATGTCAGGGGGTGTGGCATATGCAAATGAGTTATGCTAATGAGTAATGCTAATGAGCTCCTGCACCTCTTTTTCTACGAAATGACCCCTGCAGACAACTGTTCCCCTG